AGTCTCCGGTTGATGGGCAATTGGGATGTTTCCAAGTTTTAGTTATTACAGACTGAGCTACTGTGAATATGGGTACACATATATCGCTGTGGTAGGACTCTTTTAATTATTTTGGGAAGATACCCAGTGGGGGAATAGCTGTGTCAAATGAGACCTCTAATCTCCACACTGATTTTCACAGGGGTTGCACCAGTCTACAGGCCCACCAACAGTGGGGAAGGGTTCCTTTTTGCCCACAACACTGCCAACATTTGTTACTAGTTGATTTCTTGATAGCAGAACTCTTTCTGGTGAGATAGACATTATTTATAACATAATAGAATAAAACATTCAAAAGGTGGGGTAGAACATCAAATATTCCATGAATAAACTTTATATAATATGCATTTATTGTTTTTAATAAGATCTAAAAAATGTCAATGCCATGAGATAATATGAGTTAGCTAAGTATGAGTTAGTTATGATAATAAGTAAGATAATGAGTATGAGTTCCGACTTGAAAAGGTAGCATTGTTAAGATATAAAGAGAAATAAAGTAAGAGTGAGGTGAAATATGTGATGTACATTATGGAGTTTAAAATACATCATAAAGAACAGAATCACAACAGTCTCAGACTGAATAAGTAGCTAAAGAACAAACTCCCAGAAGTCTCCCAGGGCTCAGAAGTTAAGATTGAGAGATGATGATACAGATAAACCTCTCCAGTTAGAAATCAGAAACAAAAAGCTACTTATAGGTAACTGTTCTTTTGAATAACAGGCAATGGTAGTTACACTAAGGGAAATGGTGAAAACTCTGAAATATAAACAGCAAACTTGGGAAAGTTATATTTAATTTAAACATTCAAATAATGATTACAGTGTTACATTATCCTTATAGTGCAAGAAAAAACATTGAAGGAAGATAAAAGAAAAACAGAGATGGACATAAAGCTTTCTAGCCTTAAAATTCTCATCTGTACTAATAATAGATAATAATAAAACATCATAAATATGCAGGGAAGAAAAGATAATAACCATAGAATTGGACACCTTGCTAAGTTGCCATTCACATGTGAAATCAAACCAGAGCTCTTTTGCTTTGGAAGAACTGACAAAATGCAAAAAAGAAAAGTTAAGATAAAGAGATTAAACAAATTTTAAAATTCAAGAACAATATAAATATTGATGGTATAAAGAATGAGAAATTTAGAGATACTTATAACTAAACGGATGCACATTGAGGTGATACTCTTAAGTGAAATAAATAGGACACAAATGTATAAATATTGAATAGTTTCTTTAGTGTGAGTAACTGAAAGTATAAATAAGGGTTAAAAGGTATATAGACAATGTGAAATAGGAAGAAAAGGTGCAACAAGAAGGGGAAGTGGGAAGGGTAGCAGAAAAGAATGAAGGGAATGGAATTAATATGAGAAAATGAAAAAAATGGAAACAAAGTCTTTGTAGATAGGGAGGGTTAGGGGCATTGAAGGGAGGGCAGGGGAATGGGGAGAAATAAGAACCAAGATGGATTACGTAAAGGTGCAAATGTCCAATGGTGAATTTCATTTTATTGTGTACTTTAAATGTAACAAGAAAATTAATTTTAAAAAAGAAAAGATATTGATGGTAAGCATTAAGATAATTTAAACAATGCTATAAATATGACACAATAAAATCCTTAAACAACACAAATTCTAATAATTTTTTAATAAAGGTGCAATATAGTATAAAATTTGAAAAATTAATATAATAGTTCAGTTTCTGTTTATACAAAACATAGACCCTAGTCACAGGTCATGTTGTGTGTGTGTGTGTGTGTGTGTGTGTGTGTTCTCCAGGCGAGTTTGAAACTAGTAGAGTAGGCAGACAATTTGCAAAATGCTGAGCAGGAGCTGATTCTGCAGTATTGAGGCAGAATTTCATCTTCCTCAGGGAAATTTCAGGTTTGCTTCAAGTTCTTCTAGCTGATTGATAAGGCCTACATTATTAAGGGCAAACCCTCTTACTGAAAATCAACTCATTGTGTGAACCACATTTATGAAATACTTCCACAGTAATACTTAGATAAAAGCTTGCTTAAATAATTGGACATTATAGCCTAACAATATCATTAACCATCACATTCAGTGTTCTTTGATAAAAATCTGACTATACCCAAGGGAAGGAAACTGGAGATAGCACATAAAGAGTGACATAGGGAATTAATACAAATTAATTATAATATAAATTTAAAATAGGAAATATACCTTCAGATCATCAGTGGGTTTAGAAAAAAGAAAAAAAAAGACATCACAGGAAAACAGGAAGTGTGAAGAAAATAAAATAAGAGAGCAAAACAACAAAAAGTTTGTAAAAATAAAACAGAAGTAATGAAACTGCCAGTTATAGAAAAAAATTTAAAATTACCCCATAAAGGAAAATTGATATAAAAATTGATATAAAATGTAATATTATTTTTAGCTAGGAGAAAATTAAAACCATTTCTTAAAAATGTAAAGCTAATACTGCATAAATTAAATAATATAAATTTAAGAAAAAAAGGAAAGCGCCTCAAAATTATTAACAAAAAAGACACACACAAAAAAACTATTTAATAGGCCAGGAAGGACAATTAAGAAAAATTATAATATCAGTAAAAGGAAAAATATAGAACACTATTCAGAGGCATAAAAAGAGATGAATAAATAGCAATGCATTATATAAACTGAAAGTTTAGTATTTTAAAGATGTCATAATCAATGCAACTTTAATTACAAGCGAAATATATGCATTAGCATTCAGTCATCAACTCTAAGTTGTTTGGAAAAATAAACACTTGGAGTTAGCCAAAAATTAGCAGTATTTTTTTTTTTAGAAATATAAACTATATCTTTACTGTGAAGAAAGTAATGGAACATTGGCAGAAAAACTGAAAAGAATATCTAGAAATAAATCTAAGTATCTTCTGCTACATTAGAATTTGAATAAATTAACATTTCATTTTAGTTGTAAACATGCTAAAATATTTGGTAAATATTTTGGAAAAATATTAAAATTAGATTTTCATTGTATGCATTATACTAAATCAAACTATAGATTGATTCATTTTAAATGTAAGATGGGTGTTGTGGTTGCCACCTGTAATCCCAACACTCAGGAGGCTGAGGCAGGAGGATTGCCTTGATTTAAAGGCCAGATTGAACTACATAGTCAGACCCTGTCCCCATGCCCTTACCCCCCCAAAATTAAAAAAAAATTCAAATGTAAAAATATCATAAGAGTATTTGAAGAAAGTATAGGTAAATATATAAAAAATTAGGGAAGTCTTCTGATCATAATGAGGAAGACAAAACACCAAGAAATCATAACACTAAGACATGATAGATTGTTCATAAAAAAAAACACAGAAGAAAACAGGTATAGAAGGACCTTATTTCAACCTGATGAAAACCATTCATGATAAAGCTACTGCCAACATCATATTACATGGAAAAAACTGAAAGGATTCCCTCTAAAATTGGGAATGAGACAAGGATGGCTATCATCACCACTCCTGTTTAGCACAGTCCTTGAAACATTAGCCAGAGCAAGTAGGCAAGAGAAAGAAATAAAAGGGATACATATAGGAAAGGGAAAAGTCAAATTATCATTATTCCCATTATACTATACATAGAAGACCTGAAAAAAAATCATCAAAAAACTCTTAGAAATAATAATCAAATTCAGTAATGTAGCAGGATACAAAATTAATAGACTTCTTGTACACTAATAATAAACCCACTGAGAAAGAAATTAGAGAAGAGATATAGTAGCACCAAGACAAGTTAAATACTTAAGAATAAAGGTAAAGGAGTGAAAGATATCTACAGTGGAACCTATAGTACTATCATAGTAGCACCAAGAGAAGTTAAATACTTAAGAATAAAGGTAAAGGAGTGAAAGATATCTACAGTGGAACCTATAGTACTCTGAAAATTGATACTACAGAGGACATCAGAAAATGGAAAGATATCCTCTGTTCCTAGGTAGGCAGAACCAATATAGTAAAACCGTCCATACTTCCAAAATTTATATACAGATTTAACACAATCTCAATAAAAATTTCAGTGACATTCTGCACAGAAGTGGCAAAAACAATCCTCAAATTCATATTGAACCAAAAGAGGCCCAGAGTTGCAAAAACATCCTTGTTAAAAATAGCAAAACGGGAGGAATCACCTGGACCTGAAATTATATTACAAAGCTATTGAGATAAAAACAGCATGGTATTGGCACAGAAATAGATATGAAAACCAACAAAATAGAACAGAGGATACAGAAACAACCCTTAGTACATTCACCTACTCGATCATTGACAAAGTTGCCAAAGACATACAGAAGAGGACAGATAGCCTATTTAATAAATGGTGTTGGGAAAACTGGCAACCACATGCAGAAGATTGAATCTACATCTGTATCTTTCACCATATACTAAACTAAAATAAAAATGGATCAGAAAACTAATGTTAAAACAAATATTTAGTTCTGTTGATGGTTTCTTTTGC